TCAACAGTACCTCTCAAACACCCCAATTCTGCCCAATTCTTTTTGTCTCCATTACTTTACTCTGGTGTAAGCCTCCATCAACAGCTCACTGGGACTGCTGCAATAGCTCCCTTCCTTGTCTCTCACGACTACACCACCATTCTCCACAACAAAGCCAAGTGATCTTTAAGTCGAATCACATCCTCTAAGTTCTCCAAAGGCCTCCCTTCACACTTAGAATGAAACCTAATCTCTATCCTGGTCTTCAGGCCTCCCTCCAATCTGTTCTCTGCTCACCTCTCTGCCCTTCCCTCCTCCCACCCACTAGGTTTCAGCCAGCCTGGCTTTCTACTTCTCAAAACTTCCAGGCTGATTCCCTCATAAGGCATTCGCACAGGACTGCCTTTTACCTGGCTCTTGGTTTTGCTGTCTTCATCTCAGCATCCAAGCCTCAAATTTAAACACAAATGTTACCTTCTCAATGAGGCTGCCTTTAACCAACCCATCAAAACTAGCTCCACTGCTCCCATCAATCACTGACTACTCCAGCCTCTCTCACTCTTTATGGCACTTTCCACTGTATGTTAATTTAGAGCTTCAGTCCCCTTCCACCAGAACCTTAAGTCCCACGAGGGTAGAGATTTGTCAGTCCAGCTCAGTGTTACAAGCAGGATTATCTGGCACAGGGCAACGAATATTTGCTGAATGAAGAGTGAATTTTACTTTGATGTAATATGTTCTGGCAGTGAAAGGAAAATCAAGTATACCAGTGATAAGTATGACAGAATCGAAAGAGAAATTCTGAAAATCACTGGAAAAGCATTAATCGCAGAACTTAAAGCATCCTTTTCTTAACAGCTAGTAATAGATCACATTCCTAAGGGCCGTTAATGAATTCTTAGTAAAAGTTTCACACAGCCATAGTCTAGAATTTTGGAAGTGTGTCATCTTGCTCAAATCTGTTTTTAGAAGAGCATGGGCCTTCAGTTCAGCCTAAGTTCAGATCTGCACTGGAATTTGAACAAGTTACTTACCTCTTCATGCCTGCTTTCTCATTTGTAAAATGGAACTATTAATAGCTACTTTGTAGTCATTAGAGTCACTGTGAAGATTAAATGATGTGTTTAAAGCATCTAGTTGTATCTGGCATGAAGTAGTCAACAAATTGTCATTACTATTATTATGAGTGCTGAGAAATAGGAAAGTCCAGATGAATAGGACAGCTCAAAAACTGTGTACCTACTGTAATGTAAAGCATCATGCTAGGTAAGTAATTCTCAAATTTTACTGTACAGAAGACCCCCACCTAGGCAAATCCCAAGATTCTGATTTACTAAGTCGAGGGTGGAAGTTTCAGAGAACTGCAGTTTTCACCATAAATTCCATCAATTCTGATTCATTTGGTCCATGAACTCCGATTAATCCTGTGCTAGGTGTCCTAACGATTAGAGGTTCTTTGAGCTTCCTGTCCTCTATGAATTTACAATCTAAAAGAGGTAAAAACAACATATACAAATAATACAAAGCAATGTAGGAAAAGTAGTGTAGACAGGACAGGAAAGAAAGACTTCAAAGAAGAAGGGTCATCGGTAATAAAATGATGAGTAGGAATTCATGAAGAACACGTTTCCCAGACTTTCAGGAATAATGTTACATTACAAAAGAAAGTACAATGAGCAGACAGCTTGGCAGGAACAGAGGATCTGCAGTTAGGATGGAAAGACAATGTCAAGGGAAAAAAAACAAACAGAGGCTCTAGAATACCATCAATGTCAACCTCAACAGTATGGGCTTTATTCAGTGCTGGCACTAGGAAGTTAGTGGTTTTTGAGTAGAGAAATGATAAATTAGGGTACTGTTCTTTGGAAGAGCACTCTTGATGAAGCTATGCAAGATCAAGTAGAATGAGAGTAAAAGACAATGGCAGTAGTGAGGCTGTCAGCACTCTAATCTCAAAGAAATGAGAGTCAGGAGAAGGAAATGAAAAAGATTAAAAAGGAAGGAATGGTAACTCTTAATGACTCACTGCATGTAGGGCAAAGGCAACAATCACAGCTAGCTGACTGCTTCACTCCTAAAGTCCAAACTGTAGCACTGTCAGTTTCATGTTACTTTCTAGAACTTTTTCTTATATAGCTAATTAGCCTAAGTATATAAAGAGTTCACTTGCTTAAAACACAGCCCACAATTAAGAGGTCAGTAAATAGGCCTCTGACTAGCCAAAATACATGTCACATAGTTCATACACTAAAAGTATTTGTGTATATATAATAAACATAAATACATATACAATAGAATATTATTCAGAGCTGCACAATCATATTTTACACAAAGTTCTAACAAATGTAAGCATCTAACTTCCAAACCCACAGCAGTTTGGAAGCAAAAATTAGGGGAAAAGAGCCTTTTTTAGGACATACCTAAGAGTCTGAGGTTCAAGAAAAAAAAATGAAAACTATAAAAAAGCACACACAATCACTCAGGTTAAGTTCTCCACAACTGTTTATTGACAGGTACACATGATTCCCAGAAAAATGAAATTAATGAGATTCTTCCTTCATGTTCCAAGCAACTACCACAAAAAGAAAGCTTTTAAACATTCTTTAAAACTAAAGATTTCAAAACAAATATTCACCTGATAAAAAGATACTTTTTAAAGGATGGCTGACACATGCCAACCCAGACCCTCTCACCAGTACCCAAGATACAGTCAATAAATAAATAATTTACAACACACAGAGTTTGAAGATGATTAAAAATGCTTTCGGAAGGCATCTCATCAAGAATATGGCCCCAAAGATGAAGTTTAATTGGGCAATTCTTTCCTGATGGCTATGACTTGGAATTCCATGTCCCAAATAATATGAAGGCATCATCAACAAGAATTAACACCAATAAACTGGTCTTAAACACATACCCTATAAGTTTACCTACTGAACTCAGGCAACATTACTTGACACTCAACATCATGTAACAATAAGCTGAATGACAACCTTTAAAAAAACTTGTAACCATAGCAACTCATGAAGGTCTCCCGCTTCGTTCACCAATACTTATTAATGTTTATAATATGGTTCATATAAAGACCTCATCTATTTTACAAATAGATGAAAACATCATGGCAGGGGGAATTAGATGTTGACGGACTCAAAGTTACACTTAGGTTTATGATTATGTTTCAAGTATATACTAAAGCCATACATCTGTATCTTTAATTATATAGAATTATTAAACCACATATTACTGGAGTAAGAAGGGTTTAGGTTTCAGCTTGAAGAGTTTTTAAATAGCAGAAAAGCAAATCAGTGTATATTTACAACACTGTAACATTAAAATTACCTTACGTAGATTGTGGGATAAAACAACTAAACCGAATTAGGCTTCTCATTTTCCTTCACATGGCAAAGGACAGAGAAAATTAAAGCATACACTTCAAAAATGTCATAAAATGATCAGGCCACATTAAGATATCAAAGATTAAGATTATGCTCCAAAACACCAAATCTGCTGTTATAAATATATGTAAACAAATGAAGCAGTCAGTTGCACCCCCACCCAAACCCATCTCCTAATCATCCTGGCTCCCTAGAATCATACAACATGAGGACACTAACTGAAGCCAAAGAAATGTGCCTAGGAGACAGTGTTTTTCAAAGTGCAACCTGTGACCCATAAATCAATTTAGTGGATTTCAGTCAGCATTTTTAATGAAAGAGAATGGAACATAATAGAAATTACCAGAATGCATCACATGTAATAAGGGTAAACAGTGCTGTGTGAAACTTTTCATTCATATATAGGTATGTACTAGACTGTAATGTAAAAAGTACTTCTTAATATGGGGCATGATTTAAAAAAAAAAAAAAAAAAAAGTTTGAAAGCGCTTACCCTAGAGATCTATTTCTAATGTCTGAGGACCCAAAGGCTGAGTGTTTTCATTAGTCTCAACACCTGCATGTAATATCTTTGCTCAAGATGGCCTCCTGGAAACCAATTTAAGACCTCCAGGGCAGCGGAAAAAGAAAGAGGTCAGCCCCAGCTAAGCCTGTGTCTGGACCTAAAAGGGTTGCTAACTTCCCCCAAACAACAGCCCTAGGCGGTGCCTACAAGCTCTGAGTAACTTAGCAACCTTCAGACTAGAGCTCCTCCTTTCTCCACTGGCTGTCAACAGTTCAATTCTTCCAACCAACTTTTCTTAACTACAACTTCTAAAATCACTGTGTCAAGAGAAGACAGTATGAAATTTCTTCTCGCTTCATCAATTCCCAGAATGTCTCCCTAGGAGAGGATCTAGAACTCTGTACTTCCCATTCTCAACAAAGAATGAAGCTCCACATAGATCCCTACACTGCCCCCTTCCAAAACCCCAGAACAGGGTTCTCTCCTCCCAGGCCCCATCTTAACTCCAATCCCCTCACTCTCAGCATCTCCCAACTCGAGGGCCAAACGATTCTCCCGAAAGCCCGTCTTAAACTACCGCACCCTCTCATCAGCCCCTGGAAGGAGCAGGCCTAGTGTCCCAGGAGCCTGGAAATGCCCGCCAGCTCCATTCCCCACCAAACCTCCCTGGGTACATGTCCTCTGCTTCCCCTCCCCCACTTTGGATACAGTAGTTCAGAGACAAAGTTTTCTATTTCCCCAGCAGCCCCAGACTCCTGTCCACCTCCTACCACCCAGGGAAATCTTTCCATCCCCCACGCCCCGGGGCACGGTGAGAAGCCGGGATTCTCCCAGGGACTCAGGCTCCCGCCTCACCCAGCCCCCGCCTGGCCCTCTGCCTGCTCCCAACCCAGGGCCCTCCCCGCGCCTCCCCAGCCAGGCCAGGCCCCATCCTCCCTCCCGCCGCCGGCAGGTGGCCCATTCCTCCCCTCCTCCCAGGCAGGCCTCGTCCCGCTCCCAGTTTTTCCCCCGTTTCCCCACACTGCGCCCCAGCAGGAACGGCCCTCCGCGCCTCGGCTCCAGAGGGGAGCGCCTGGGGCCTCGAGAAGCCGACGGAGCCGGCGGGCCCAGGCTCCACTCACCCCTCGGCCCGGGAGGCGGGGGAGCTGCTACGGCGGCTCCTCGGGCTGCGCCTCTCCTCCCCCCTCCCGGCCACCGCCTTTGCCGCCGCTCAGCCTCCGGCCTGGTCCCGGCCGGCCCCGGCCCGGCTCCGCTTCACCTGGTCCCCCACTCTGGCCGCCGGAGCCCAGTGTCCTGCATTGACCCGGAAGCAGCTTCCACGGCCCAACAACAACACGTGACCCTGCCGCACGTGTCACGTCCGCTGCGTGGATGGGAGGGGGCGCCGGGGGAGCGGGTCCTCCCCCAGCAAGCTCGGGTTGCCATAGCAACGGGGAGGCCTCCGCGGGCCTGGTGGTCGCCGCGAACACGCTGCATCAGCTCTTCCCCTTGGCCTTACTGAGGGGGACATCCTAGGTGCCAAGGAGGAGTAAATTGTCTCATCAGAGTGAGGTAGGGACGGGTCAGAGCAGAGCCTGGGCGGCCGAGAGGCTGCGGCTTTACAGAAGGGAGCAGTGGGCTGAGCCTTTCCAGATTTCCCTGGAATTGTGTCTTGGCTCTGTCACTAATTTTCTGTGTGACCCTGATTAACGCATTGCCTGCCCCGGCTTCAGTTTCCTCACCAGGCAGCTCTAGGCTGTCATCTAATAAAATCCCAAGATGCTTTTGCCTGAGAATGTGCTAGCACTCTGACCTTTATTCCGTGGCCCCTTTGCAAGGCCTGTGGCATCCTGAGACTTCAGGGCCTCCGCACCACGGGAGTAACACCAGTTTGCAGGCACTGAGCATCTTCTAGGTACTAGGCACTGTACATAGCCTATTTCTAATTTTAACAACTTGCAAAAGTAAGCATTTTGTAGAATTGAAAGCTGAAGCTCACAGAGGTTGGGTGATCTGCCCACGACCACCCAGTGAGTAAAAGTGGTCAGGCTGAGATTTGAATCCAGGTCAGTCTGGCTCCAGACTAAAGTTCGTGCTCTTCGCATTATGACACGTTATGGCTCTAGCTACATATACATTATATGGGACCACTGGGCGGTGATTGCTTATGTACTTATTTGTCCATTTCTTTGGCAGGAACATAATGGAACAGGGATGGTGTTGGCTGATCCCGAAGAGAGTTCAGCCTTGTCTGGATATGTCAGCGGCAGTGCTAGGAATTGGAAAGTGTATGTGCTACAGACATAAGGGTGTGTGCTTTTATGTGGTGTGTGTCAGGGAACTGGTGAGGAGTTGTGATAGGCGTGCACGTGTCTATATTGGTTCCTAGAGCCGGGGAGACAAAATTCTTTAAGGGGGACTCAGTGGTAGCTTATCACCATCGCCCCCAGGAATTTACTCATTCTCAGTGTGTTTTGTCTTACCCCATAGGTAGAGCTTAGAGAAGTGAGAGGCAGGGAAGAAAGCCCAGAAAAGCTGTTTGTTGTTGTTGTTTGTTTATTTATTTAGAGAGAGAGAGCAGGGGAGGGGCAAAGGGAAAGAAACTTAAGAAGACTCCCCACTGAGTGCAGATTCCAAAAACAGATCCTGAGATCATGACCTGAGCCAAAATCAAGAATCAGATGCTCAACCAACTGAGCCACTCAGGTGCCTCTCCAAAAGCGCTGGTCAAAGAAGATGCTTAGAGGATCAAGGCAAGGGTGAGCAAAGCAGTGTGGCCTAGGTTGTTGAGGTGGGGACCTTCCTCCTTCTGCAGAGAACAGAGCAGTACCCTCAAAGTACCCTCAGTAGCAAGGACTGGAGAAGAACAAAGGGATAGGTGCACAGAGGAGGGACAAGGTTGATGCTGGGTGGATATTTTGTTGATAGACTTCCTTGTGAGCTCGGGTACCCCTAGGACACCCTGAAATACCCAGGAGGCTAGATGTCCTGTGAGCAGCTAGAAAAAGGCAAGAAGTGTGGATCACTGGTGGACAAATGTATAGAAATACATATATGAGTATGGTCTGTGGGTGTGATTAGTCACATATGTCTTTGTTTCTTTGAGATATCCTCGAGTCATTTTGCTTTGGTTCCCATCTTTCTCCTTATGGAGCAAACTCCTGAAGACAAGATCAATTTCTCCACCCTTCTCCTGTCTTTCCCCATAAAAAGGCCAGAATTATGTTTCTAAGACTCCTATCTGATCATGTTATTTTCCGGAACTTAAAAATCCTTCTGTGACTTTACCCGAGGGTAAAGTCACAATGATTAACATGTTCCTCAAGGCTTTCCATGGTCTGGAACCCTGCTGACTTCCCCAGTCTCATCTCTTGCCCTTTTATCCTCTTTCAGCTTTATTACCCTCTATTCAACCGGGTAGCCGCTAGCCACATGTGGCTATTAAAATTTAAATTAATTAAATTAAATTAAATTAAAATTGCATTCCCTGAGTTACATGACACTAGTCACATTTCAAGTTCTCAGTAGCCCTATGTGACTAGTGGCTATCTTATTGGACACTACTGATACAGAATATTTTTATTATAGCAAGTTCTTTGGGCAGTGCTGCTCTATACTCTCTATACCTCATGTATGATATAGTCTATGGGAATTCGCTCAGCTAAGCCTTTTGCTTGAAACATTCTTCCTCCACCTCCTTGAATCTGAAAATTCTACACAATTGCTTTTTTTTTTGTTGTCTCCTTAATAAGCATGTAAGCCTCAATGAAGGCAGGAGCTAGGTCTATCTTGTTCCCCATTGATTCTCCATTGTCTTTAATTGTCATGCTGATGAATCACAGACCTGTACCCCTGAAACAAATAATACATTATATGTTAATTTAAAAAAAAAAAACACCTTTTCCCTGGGACAAAAATGGGCACATAAAACAATTTTTTTTTTGAGAAAATAAATATAGCATTACAGTTTAAAAAAAAAAGGGATTGTCATGTAGACGGGGAGAGGAAATGAACTAAAGTGAGAGGCAGTAATAGAAAGGCAAATTTCTGGTCTGGTCATTTTCTTTTAGAAATTGTTGATAATTCCATTGTTTTGCCCTAGAAACAGCAATTGTATCCGGTTCAACCTAATAGTAAGGAAGAACTCTGGAAGAATTGGAGATGCTTTAGTTGATTCTAATGAGTTCCCTGTCACTGGGAGAGGTTAAGCCAAAGCAGACTCTGTTGGAACAATGTGTGACTATTTCCTGGATTGGGTAGACTGCTTGATTGGTCTGATTCTAAGAATCTAAATCAGTGTTTCTCAAGCAGAGTCTTTAATTCAAGGGTTGAGTATGTCATAATGACAATCACAGCTAGCCAAAGTCTACGTATCCGATCTGCTCAAGATATTTCACGTAGATTATTTCCTTAATCCTCACAGTGATCATATGAAGTCCATTTGGATTTACCACTGAGACTCAGGTTAAGCAATATACCCAGAACATACAGCTAGTAAATGGCAGAGGCTGAATTCATATTTAGGTCAGTATGAAGCTGAGCTCATAATCACCCTGTAATTAAGGGATAGAGTTCTATCATGAAGTTTCAGTTGTATATTGGCACATCCTTTTAAAGTAACAAACGCTGGTTTTTATAATGAATATATTCCTTACACTTAGGTGGTTTGGGGAAAACAAAGATGAATAAGGCATGGTTCCCACAGTGTCGTTGGGAAGGTAATGCATATACTCAAATGTAGAACAATTAATGGTATATTATTTGAAAAGAGGGAGTCATCTTAGCTGAAGGCATCTCTCAAGTAAGCCATAGGATGAGGATAGAATTATAGGAGAATTCAATCATATATATGAGAATTATATGAGAACAACAATAGTACACATATGGGAACACAGGAGAAGAGAAAAACAGCCACTTCACTTCAAAGAATAATAATTAGTATGGAAATTAAGAGTCTGCAATATGGGACGTGGTTTTTCCACTAACCAGCCATGTCACTGGAACCTCTTTCTGCTTTATCTACCTAATAACCTGGACTGGACAAACTACCAATGAAATCATGAGCCAATCGAAATCATGTGTAAAATATGATGTAGAGACCTATATTACACATACGTGCATTTTCAAGAGGAAGTGCCAGAGGTTCCATCAGATTCACAAAGAAATCACAACTCAAAAAAATGTTAGGTTTCATTGTCACTCTAAAGTCTGCAATTCTGAGGTTCTATATTTTATTTTTGTCAGCATTACTGACATATCTGTCAGGAAATGGACTGTCATGCCAAGCTTACTGACCAAGCAAAGGGCAGAGATATTTTTATTTTAAACTGGAGAGTCATACTTAGAACGATTTAGAAACTGTCCGGATTTCCTTACTGGGCAGAATATATGGTCTTAAAAAAAAAAAAAAAAACAACTCTTAATTTGCTTTTCTGCAATTTACATTATGGATCTCAATTTTCAAGGAGGCCTTGCATTTATTAAAATCATTTGCAACTAATTGATGTAAGCCTTACTAACATAGACACAGATTACTACACATACAAATGTACCCAAGTGTACAGCCCAATGAATTATCACAAAGCAAAAACCCAGGTGACATCACCCTACCGAGTCACTGAATATTGCCAGTCTCCCAAAGCCTCCCTCCTAGTCACTACTGCCCTTACTCTCCCCAAACTAGGATTCTGACTTCTAATATTGTAGCTTATTTTCCCACTTTTAAACTTTATATAAGTGGACTCATATGAGATCACTTAAATATTTAATACTGTGAGAGTTATCCATGTTGTTTCATATAGCTGTAGTTCACTGATTTTTGTTGCTAAATTTAGTATTTCATATTGTAATCATACCACCATTTATTTATCTATTCCCCTGTTGAAGGGCATTTGGGCTATTTACAGTTTTTAGTTACCGTGCATAATGCTGCTATAAACATTCTTGTGCTTAACTTTTACTGTACATACATATATATTTCTGTTGGGAATATACGCAGAATAAAATTAAAGGATCTTAGCTTTAGATCAGCACTGTCCTAGAAATATAGTACTAGTCATCATATGTAATTTAAAATTTTCTAGTAGACACATTAAAAAGTTTTTTAAAGAGTGAAATTGATATGAGCATGCATTTTAAAAAATATTTATGTGTCTGTCTATTTATTTTTAGAGAAAGACAAAGAGTGC